CTCCCAAACATCTACAATTCGGTCTTGAAACTCATTTTAAGGAAGTTACACAAGCAAATACATCAGGATACAAATAGCCAAACTCATAAACCCATACACAACAAAAGAGAACAATCCAGGAAAAGACTGATGAATATTTAATTTGCATCTGACTTGGAATATGCTTTGGAGAATGGACTCACTTAAAAATACAGATTGCACCAGTGTAGCTCAATCGAACTGACAAAGACGCCTAAAAAAGTGTTGAAACGTGTACAGAAAAGCTGAAAGAAGGTCCGATTTCTTCCCATTCAAACATGTTTTGTGATTATAAAGACAAAAGTTCAGCAGGCTGGCTTGATTGTGCAGCAGCGAACAGATGAAAGCAATGATCTACAATGTCTTAGAGGAAAAATCACAGAGCCTGAAAACAGCCAAACCAGAATTATACCAGAGACAAGAATGTTCATCTGAAGTCAGAGTTAAAACGGGGAAAGCTGACGGCTGCTGAGCTGAATATTAGCAGCACAATAATTAACAAATTTCACTGGTGTTGTGACTTGGAGGTAAAACCCAATCAGAGACATCATCACCAATCTGAAGCCAGACTTTGTAGACAGATTGAAAACAGGCTGAGGCAGTGTAGAATAGAATAGAATAGATAATCCATTTATTGTCCTATAATGGAGAAATTCGGGGGTTTACAGTAGCAAAAAGATTACAGAAAATTAGGGATGCACGATATAATCGGCCCCCTATCGGTATCAGCCTTAAAACTGCATATCGGACATCGACCCCACCGATATTTAACCCGATATTTGATCAGCTTCTGAGTTTCTAAAGTCTAAAAAAAAAAAAAAAAAAAATACTACTTCTTCTTCCTCAAAAACTTCTTTTTTACAGACTTAAAACCTTCTAAAGACAAGGGAAAAAATATTGATACATTAAAATATCCCAATATCTTCATATGCTGATATATTGCCATTTAAAAACACCATATCAATCTCTTTTACTAATGAAATATTGCTATATGTCATCGTTATGCTACGAAATCCCCCGAATATTCACAAAATTTTGCCACATTTTTATATGTTGATATATTGACGCGGTATCGATCTATTTTACTAACAAAATATCACGAGAGTTTGTAACAGAACGATGAATTTTCACAAGATTTTGAAAGTAAAACAGATCGATACCGCGTTTTTAAAAATCAATTTGAAATCAGCATATGAAAATATATTTGAGTAAATTATTTTTCTAAGCAAATGGATAACAAAACTGCTATTTTCAATGACTACTTATTTTTGTCCAGCTTTAACATCAGTATCGATATCGGTTATCGGCTACATGAGTTTTAAAATATCGGATATCGGATATCGGCCAAAATCCCAATATCGTGCATCCCTACAGGAAATCATGGTCACTCTATGTGGACCTTAGAAAATAAACATAATAGTGAAGAGTTAAAAGATAAAC